GAAATATGATCAGTATTTCTCTGGTGGTCATTATGTTCCTTATGAAGAAGATCAATGTCTCCTGGGTGGATCACTGAGTATACACAGCATGATGGCAGGACCAGCGCTGATACCATTCTAAATACTTAATGAAGGATTTATTCATAATAAGGTTTGCCTCTGTGTGTGTGTGTCTGTCGTTCTTTCTCCTGTCTCTCTTTCAGTCAAAGGTCTGTTTTCAGGCCCTGAGGCATTAGTAACTGATGTTCTTGTATGAGGCTGTGCTGTTCATTTCATGGGCTATCACTTTTTAAATTGGTGAATGCCTTCTTCATGGTTGATTAGTAATTCATGCGGAGCTAATTAAGAGGCATAATAAGAGAAAGACTGGTGAGATGCCTCCAACCAAAATAGGAAAACGGTTTTACCCCGGACTGTAAACAGTTGTGATTGATCGTAGTAGCGCGTTGCCCATAAAAGACATTTATGCTTCTCTGAATCCGTCATCTTGGAACCCATATACCCATATGGACACCCATATCTTCCTTTTCCTCAGTGCTTTCCTGATCTTTCCTGATCCTGAGCATCTTTCCAGAAAGGTGCCTTAATGATCCCTCCATCCCGGCTGTCATCATCATTTTGCTGGATCTGTTCTCTGTATGCTGTTGCTCAGGCTGGCGCTCGCCCCTGCCAACCATCATCACGCACACACCTGTACCAGCATCTGTCCATCCTGCAGATTGGCACAGGTGCTGCCTTTAGACTGGCTGTCTACGTGCCGTAAAGTTAATGCGCACACCCTAAAGACATTTTTTCACCTAAACTGTGAAGTCTTGTTGTCTTTTTCTCACTCTATTTTTCTGTCACACATATTTACACACATACACTGATCAGAAGCATAAATAATATAATAACATTATTTTATCCGTCTGTCCATCTGTCCGTTTGTCAGTGGGAACTCTTTATGATTCCCGGCGCAACACTTCAATGATGACGTGTGTGCCCGCAGTCTAATTCCATCATCAGCATCATTACTGCTATTATCCCGTGTCTCCCTTTAATGCAGGCTAATGGATGACCAATAAAGATAGATGAGCCTGGCAGTGTGGAGCTAATAGGCAGGACATGATGTCTGGCTTCTGTCCTGACTTGAGTCTTTACCCGATCAACTGCCCTCAGAGATAAAACATAGCTAAAATATTATGTAGAGTTATTCCTTCAGCTTTAATGAATCATTGTATCTCCAGCTAATTAGCATGCCGATAGTCAACTCAGTTGAGTAACTATTTTTTAAAAGAGCTGATTGGATTTTGTTGAATAAATAGCAGCTTTGTTTTAAATTCTAATTGTAAAAACTCAACACACAACAATGGCCATGCAGCATTTAACTGATATTTAAAGGTGCTATGTGTAAGAATTAACCACCTGTTGAATTCACACTTAAAAGAAATAGAGGGCGGTCGATCACCAGAGTTAGCCCTAACTTCTGCCAACTGTAGCTACTGTTAGCTAGTTAGCTCAGTTAGCCATGCAGCTAGCAGTTTATATGTCTGTGAGCTGACTCGGCCCAGATGGGAGCTTGGATTGAGTGTAAGTGTCAACAGCGCCAGCACAGGAGCTTTGTACTGCCAGGAGGAGGAGGTTTTCAGGCCCAGGTCGGGCGGGACCCAGCAGGGAGTGCTGGCCAGGAGCGGCGCCAGACTGGGCACCAGGCGTCAGGCAAGTGGCAGAATCTGACCTGGACTAAATGCAGCTGGTGAGATAAATGGATGCTAGTTTGACGGCAGGGAATGCAGTACAGAGGTGATTTACAGCAGCTCTAACCAAAACTCTGATCCCGGGGACAAGGACACATGGTGGGTTCAGGCAGGGACAGGACAAGCGCGAAGTGGGAGAGGAGCCAGAGGGAGGTTGGGTATCAGTCAGCACCCACCTCCAGAGGCCTGAGTGGGGGTTACAGGAGCCAAACCTGGTAAGAGAACCACCTCAGGGTTGTTGGACTGTGTGCAGATGCTACAGCGACTCACTATGGTCTCCTTGAGGTACAAATTACGAGACAGGATGGGCTGAAGCTAACTAGTTAGCATGCTTACTCTTAAACACAGTGCAGAGACATCTTTGACATGACGTCAAAACTATTATTTCTTCAGATTCTATTGATAATTGTTGATAAAAATGTATTGAAATTGATAGATGTTTTAAACTAAAAGTAACATTTTGCACCTTTAAAGTGTTACAATTTAATACTGTTGGATATGGAAAGGTAATGTTAGACTGAAAGTGGCACAATCATCCCCTCTGTATTGTTCAAAAGCTTAATACATTGTTATGAAGTGTATTATATAATGAATGTCTTTATGTGTGTGAAAGAGAAAACCTACTATATACCTATGGAAAAATGGAACAATTGCCTGGGACCCACTATGATACAAGTGTCAGAGAGATGTCAGTCTTTACACACCAGAACGAGCCTAATAAGGCAAAATGCCAGGCAAACCCCCTGTGGACCACTTTACAGAGCCAATAATATATACCCTCAAATTCAAAAATGATCAGGACTATATTGTATACCCACAGTATAGTACTGATTATTTTTGAGATAATCAAGAAAATTATAATAATACTGTATTGAATCAATCAGCCTTACAGTTCATATAATTGCAGGTGCAGAAAACATTGTGTTCATTCAAGCACTGTGACCTGCTTGAAGCAGAACAAGAGAGTTTGGTAGTGCAGTGGAGCAACGTACCATGAAATAATTACAGTGAGAGAACGGGAGTACATGGATTACGTTTTGAGTGCATGAAAAAGGTTCTCACAGAGGCTGACATGATGTACAGTACCATATAAAGAAATAAAAAGTATTGTAAGAATATGAATTTGTGATAACAATGAGATCACAGTCAGTTGTGGTGAGTGAGAAATATACAATTTCCTTTGAGAGTTGTTCTGAAACAATGCAGAAAAGTTAAGGTGATATGTTCCAAAGGACTTCCTATGAAAATATTAACATTGTCACAATTAATGTAAATTAATAATAATGATGGCAGACTCCCATCTTTGGGGCACCTCCGGGAACTCTAACGTCAGAAGAAAGTTTTGTTTGATTGAACTTCAAACAGCGTGCAGGAATAACATCACACAAGTCTTTTAAATGGAGTGGTGTCCACCTTTAAACACTGGCCACTTCAAAGACAGAAAGCTCCAGAAACTGAGAAGCCTTATGCTGACAAGCCCAGCCTTGAGGACAGGAGAGCCATTGAACAGAAGCTTAGATTAGCGGTAATCCTCTGTTCGACTTGTTGAGAAGCTGCTCAAATCTCTTGTCTATCACTCTCACTCCTGTTATAGTTTGTGGAGCTCTGCCAAAGTATCAGAGCATAGAGATATATATGAAATGGCCCAGCCTGAAAAAAAACTTCGATTAATTCTTGCCTCTAAATACCATTTATCAAAAAATAAATGTGACAGAATTTAAATGTATGTGAATGTTAAACTCTGACAGTTCAACGTAGTGTTTCTTTACAGAGAAGTGAAGCGAGCTAGTCTCCTAAATCAATAGTATAGCTGCGAGATGTAACCACTCACTTGTATTGAAAACACCCGAAAATACTGCTCCAATAACTGAAATAAAATGACTGCCATTATGTTCTGAGAGTTACTGTCATCGCTTTGTTTGTTTTGTTTTCAAATTCCCTTGTATACATCTAACAGACTCTGAGACCGGTCATACAGCACAGTGAACAAACATCATGGGGAAGCTGGCATTTGAAACAGGCCTAATCATAACTAACTAAATGCCTGAAACTATGAAACGAAATATCAGAGAAGAAAAAAAAAAGCTCTATATAGTTCTGCATCACTTACTTTTCAATTACAGCAGCCGAAGCAGAACGAAATTGTTAGTGTCATTTATCGACTGTGGTGCTCTCCATTAGAGTAACAACTGAGAGAAATCCATCCAGTTGTATAACCACCTGGCTGTCTTACAATAACAAAGAGTTCATTTCTGTCAGCTGGCCTTAAAGTCTTTCTGTTGTGGCACAAGGAACAGATGAGAAGTGTACACCAGGAAGCCCATGAAGGCACACGGAGACCAATAAACTCTGACCAGGCAGGTAATCATCTCGGTGGCTTTTTCTCACTGTAGTTCCCTGAAACAATTCCCCTTCCAAGAATGAGAAGTTATGGACACCTTGAGTGATGAGGCTAATGATCCAGGTCGACTATAATCTCCTACTGCCATCACTTAAAGCTTAAAACGTAACAAATATTTGCTTTATAAATATTTGTTTTTAAATATAGTATAGTAATATAGTATTAGTTTTCCTTTACAGATGTTTAAAATTGAACAGAAATTTAAAAAAAAACAACATTTTAATATTATAATTACACTACAGGTGCAAAGGGAATGTGTGTTTCATATGTTTCTGACACAAACAGATCTAAATAGTGTTGTTGTTTTTTTAATACTTCCACTACTATCTTTACATCTCTTAACAGCAAAGTTAATGTCATGTCTATTACTTATGCCTTGATGATCTACCCTGGTGATGTGGACCAGGCAAGAGTAGCCGAGCGCAGACAGCATCCCCAACCCCCCTATGTGTATATATTTTTTTTAATACTTTGTGAGGAAAAACTGTCAACCATATCCAAAGTGCAGGACCAAAGAGAAGTAAAATAATGTATGCTTTTGTTAGATTCTTTGAAGACGATATGTGCTACGCGTTATCCGTTTCAAATGTCGAAGATTTCAGACCTCTGCACAAAACAGATTTTGATAATCAGAAGGTGTATCTGGTTCACAGAACTGAAGAGAATGGCAGCGCAGGCCAGCCGTGCGAAGCACAGATCCTTGCCCTTGCAGGTAAGTTGCCCTCTTAACACATCAGCTCTCCTCCTTTTAATGCTGTTTTTTTATCTGTCCGACCAAGTAACGGCGATGTGCGCGAAACTCGGGAATGTGTCAAACCAAGTCGTTTAGTCCGAAGTGTCAAGACGTGATCAGCTGCAATCTGACACTGATAGCCACAACAACGTCCTCGGTGCGGCTAGCTAGATATGCTAAGATAAGTTTGGTTGGTAGTCGTACCTTTGTCGTCAATGCTTTACCATTTATATCACATCCAGCGCATCGTCTCCCAAGAGTTAGTTGTCTTGTTTCGACAGAGTAGCGCAGGTTGTTTCTCTATATAACGTTACGTGGCACGCAGCGTTAGCCACTCACATCGGTTGTTTACAACATGGAGCTAACGCTGCTAGCTTCTGTGTATTCGTTCCGCGTTAGCATGTTAGCACCGAGGCGCTACTCAACTTAACTGCGTGTCACTGCATTATAAACACATGTGTCAGCCCGCGGGTCACCGGTTATCGTTTATACAGTGGTTTGTGAATGTAGTCGAGACGACAGCCCGATAGCTTTTGTGTACTGCGGTTAGCCTTGTTAGCTGGCTTATCTGTCGGTGTTTGCCACAGAGGTTGCGGTGCTGCAGTCATCGCTGTCTCAGACAACATACCGCGACCGCTCCTCACTAACATGACCCTGTCGTGGCTGCTTTATGACAGTGCATCGTGTTAACGTGCTGAAAGTGTGCAAGTGGAATGATTTGCTTGACGTTAAGCTCCAGTTAAAGTAATGTGTGCTCTCGGTCGTTTTCTGTGCTCGATCTTTAACTAGCTGCATCACTAATCCCTGAATGTGAGCTGTCTGGGCTGCAGGATCGCTCAGATCTGACTGACACCTTCACAGGCAGTTGTGTTAAAGAGCGGTGTAGCCAGGACTACTTGTATCGCAGTCCGCTGTAGAGATTACATTGTAGTTGTAGGCTTAGAGTGCTGAAGTTAGTTTGATGTAGCAGAATGGAGAGACTAAATTTTACGCCCTCGGCCCGAGTTTGACAAATGGATGAAAGAATTCTGTAGGTACTTTCACGTTTTATGAAAATCCATCTAACTTTTTGGAAACTTTATGAGTTTCATCCTGCTCCTATTTCTGCATTTCACAGATACAGTAGAGGAATTTGAAGACAGTATAATGCAAAAGAAGATGAAAATTCCCAAGATGTCCATCAAGAATTCAGGAAACTCTATTGAGAACAATTTTGGAGAGGAGAGAATGCCACTGAGACATAAAAAGGTAGGCTCAACTAAATAAGACACTAGTTGTGTTGTTATAGAAGAAATGAGCTTTTACATGTAAATGGGCAGCACTGGCTAATGGACTCTTCATCACCAACTTGTGCCTTCACTTACAGTGTCACCAGTATCATGACATACAATCACGCTGCCCCTCATCGTGTTCAGTTAATACTGATCTATTGACAGTGCCATTAAGATCAAATATTATGATGCTATAATAACAAATTCAAATCAGCCAAAGTTTAATTTAATTAATGTATCATAACAAAATGAAGTATCCCACTTGAATGACTTATATTGACACTAATTTGCTGTGTCAGCGAGGACCCCAAATAACTTTGCTGATTGAAAAAAAAAAAAAGCTTATACAAACACTAAGTGTGGGCGTATGTGTGACCGCATGTGTCATGTTGATGCATACACAGCAATGATCTTATATTTAAACATATCTATTGATACAATGTCACATTTTCATAAACTTGGCCGACACCCAAAATCCCCCACGCTATTTTTACCATATGCTGGATTAACACAAATTCAGCACTCTGGACAGCTGCCCTTTCACAGACAAATCCTCTGAGCGGCTCATCAAAGAACTCAGTGACTCCTCTCCTCCCAGTTCCTATTGAGATCCGCACAGTCAAAACAAACTGTTTGCAGTCTGTCTGTCTATCACGTCATTTTTCTATTGATGTGTGGGTTTTATTTCTGTTTGGCCTTCCAATTGTTGAATGGAATCACATGTTAAGTGCACTGAGGCAGCAAAGAGATTTGCGACTTATTTTTTATCAAGTTCATATTCTCTATTTATCACAATTCAAATTTAATTTATCTGGCCCATCAGTTCCCTACATTGACAGTTTTTATTTTTATCAGGCCCTGTCTCAGGACCATGGACGCCCCCTTTCCAACTCCTCCAAGAGCCTGGCAGCAGTAGTGGCTCGCCTGGAGAGAAATGCAGCAAGCTCCTGTATGGAGGGCGAAGAGGACCTGGATGAGGACCGGCTGGCTGAGGAGGGAGAGGATGCAGACGACGAAGATGACGATATGGAGGCAGAGCATCATCAACATCATCACCAGCAGCAACAACAGCATTTGGAGGTGGACACGGATTGTGTGTCTGGGGTAGCTGCAGCCGTGGTTCCTAGAGTCCTGTATGAGGAGCTGGTTCATAGCTACAGGCAACAGGAGGAGGAGATGAGGAGGCTGCAGCAGGAGCTGGAAAGAACCCGCAGGCAGCTGGTACAGCAGGCCAAGAAGCTGAAGGAATATGGCAGCTTGCTGACAGAAGTCAAAGAACTGAGGGACTTCAACCGGAGGCTGCAGGACGTGCTTCTCATGAGATTGGGCAGCGGTGAGGGACCAGGAGCATGCACACCAACACACAAACCACTGCTGCCTAAGTTTATTAGTAACCTTTAACCTCATCGGCCATTTAAAGGAAATGTCTACGAAAGTCAAATCAGTTGCTGTTAAGCATTTGTACCTATATTATCGGAATACTGCAATCCAGAAACACTTTTATATTCTTAGAAAGTCTTAAAGTCTTAGACAGTAACATCTGTACAGCCCGAAACTGCCATTATCAGTGGAAGGAGGTGGGAGGCAGGTTTTTGGACGCATTATAATCCTTGTGTTTACTCTACACTGTCTACACAGTGCACTTATTTAGCACCCCCTCTGACCTGAAAAGGACGTATTCCTCTTCTTAAGAACCCTGACAAATACCAGACATCATGGTTTCTGCAGTTAAGTCTGACACATAAGAAGATGCAACTGGAATATCGCTACGCTGTGAAATATTATTTGAGAAAAGGTCCTTTATTTTGGAATACTTTTCAGACCATGTCTTTTTAGTCTGTACATTTCAGACTGCTGTTTTAATTCAGTCTCTTTCTGCTACAATTGAGACACATATAACATTTAACCAAACCAGTTCAACTCTGAGTTTGGGTGCTTTAGTTTCGCTTGCTTTTTAGTTTGGCAGAAGAAGGTCATGGGTTCAGTTCTGTCAAAGAACTGATTTAAACAGAAACCCACCTAGTGACCCATTGTAAGTTGCTCCATATAAAGGATCCCTAGGCATCAAGTAACTTGTTTACTGGTCTGGAGTTTTATTAATATGTTTTTAATTCAGAAAGTCCAACAGGCAGTGTAAAGTAGATACATTTTGTAATATATACAAAGCATATAGTATTGCTCACATAAATTGTATCCATATTTCAACAATTTCAAGCTTTCTAAGAAGAATTGGTATATAAGGAAAAAAGATCTCCTGTACAGCTGGGGGTATAAGCAGTGATATAAGCAGTAGGTGCTACTACCAAAGTAGTAAATCCAATACAGGAAGTTGAATAAAAAGCACTGTAGTTGTAAGTGTGATTAAAAGTGGTGTCATTGCAGTGCCCAGGCAGTGTACAAACTCAAGCTTTGCCAGATGCTGGTGTTAACCTCAGCCCCCCTGCAGATCTGGACAGAGGCGCCTGGCTACTGGCGAGACCATCTAATGGACAGACTAAAGATTAGAGCACCCTAGGGTGCTGTCGGGCAGGGGATGGAGTGCACTGACCGATATTAAAACTCATCAGCTACATTGGAGCTTAGCGTGGCCAGCCACCAAGCCAGCTTAGGTACTGGGTTAAAATAACCGCCTGTCTCGAGGCACGGGAAAACCCAGACCCAAGGTGGGACATAAGCAGACAAGCAGGTTGGCACTGTTCCATTGGTAAAGACCAGGAAACTCATGGTCACATGCTCCTAGATACTGTAGGGATTAAAGTGCAACTGGCTGTTTACAACTAGCATGTTGTCGAGTGTTATTGAGCTCTGTTCTGTTTTAGTGTAATCCTCTGTGGTTCTGTGAAGTTAGCAGATGATGAGTGGCCTTTTGACCTCACCTCAACTTTTAGCACTGTCGGATGTAGATTTGTTGCTTGTATCTACGTAACGTTAAGTGTCTCCTTCGTATCTCCAGAGCCTATGCATGACAATGGCACTCAGACAATCAAGGCTGAAGTGGTTGAACCCATTGTTGAGGCCCAGGAGACATGCAGAGAAGAAGCCAACACCAGTTCCAGCTACTCACCCTCACCCAGAACAGTATACACCTGCAATGATGGGAAGGTAAGTCTCACTGGACCGTAGGACACTCTTTATTTAGTTCGCTTCTCGTGATTGCCTCTGGCTGGCACGTGAATACTCCCTCCCTCAACTGTTTTATTTTGTCCTAGCTAGCCTAATTGCATGCCTATTTATCTGCTACCAAACTTTTGTGATCTTTGTGATGTTTCCTGTCTGTTTTCATTTGCTTCATCTTTTTTTTTTATTCTGGCATTTATTCTTGAAGGCAAAATCACTCATCCAAATGTAAAGAAAAAGGTACCCCCAGCACTAAAATTCAAAAGGCTTGTTCGTAATGTTCAGTCAGTCCAGCAGTAAAACAAGCCTATATATTGAATAATGTTCAGTGGAGAAACACATAAAATGCTTATTTTTAATTTACATTGACCTCTTCCTTTATATATTTGAATATACTTGTAATTCTAATTCAAATCTTACAGTACAGACATGGACTTTAAACCTTCACTAAAAGATTATCCCAGTAACATCTCTCACCCTTTGAGAGTCCTGAATCCTTCACTTCCCCCTCCTGCATCCCTGGCTCTCTGCCTGGGGGTGACCGTGGGAAGTAGCCTGATTTTGTAGGAAATGCTGAATTTCCTTTAACACCCATGAACTTGGGAACATGCCGTCATAGTTGATCAGTCCTTTCCCCCTGGCCGCCCTACCCTAGCAGGTAAACAAGGTTGAGAAGATTATTATTGTTCCTGCAAGCCCAGCCAGCATCATCAGTGTTTATTGGCCTGTTAGGGTTCTTTACTCCCCCCACCGCTGTAACTCAACCAGCGTCCTGTCTCTGATGACAGGGGGGGAATTGGTACTACAAGCTCTTGGGCCTGAAGCCACTTCAAGCGTGAAGAACACTTGCAAATTAGAACTCTCCTACATCAGGGACCCCATATTAATTATTTGCACGAGAGGAATTTAAAGTGACTGACAGGTTAGCCCTAGTGAGAGAGTGAAGGGGGGGGGAGCAGTAGAAAAGAGGGAGGAGAGATGGAGAGAGGGAGATAAACAGAGGGAGGATGAAAACAATCTTGTCTAACTTGAGGGCAGTAAAAAGCTTGTCTGCTGGCCGGGGGCCTAAAGCACATTAGCTGCACAGGGAAAAGCCTTTTGGATGGTAGCCTAAAGACTTTACAGTGATAAGAGAGGAAAGAAGGGAAAGAGAGTCACATATGCCCCCCTGCTGCATGAGCTCACCTAGAAGACCGGGGCAGTCTGCCTAGGTTGGCAATCGGCTTGGAGTGTTTGGTGCAGGCTTATGCAACGTGCAGTGGCAGTGTGTAGAGAGCTACAGGCTAAGTTCATAGTGGAGGTAATCCAGGCTAGCAGCCAGTGGCCTGAGCTTATTTATGTATCCTTGTTGGTGAAAGTGGTGCTTCTTGGGATTTGTAAAGTGGTCTAAGCGGGAGCTGGTTAGGATGTGTCCTGCCCCACAACAAAGTCACAGACCTGCCTTGTCCATTTACTGTAGGTTTAGAGGTTTACATGTGCATGGAGCATTGCACCACAGCACCTAACATAAATGTCAGAGGCAAGTAAATAGTCAGCATAGTTATCACAGGATAAAATGTGTTATTGAATTTAATGTAAATGTAAATGTGTTGTTTTTCAATAATATCAATGCTTCCAAGTACCAAAGTCTTGTACCTCTCCCTCACCTACCAGCTTTTATTTTGCTTTCTGTTTTTAGAATGCTTTTGTTGATTTAATTTTTAAATATCAAATATCAGAATTAATGAAATTGCCACCCTACTACTAATCTGGTCTGTAAACAATAACACTGTGTAGTTGTTGAAACAACCACGAACCATCTGGGATAACATCCATGGTTTTGTCCACTTTCATTCCTGTGTCTTGTTTGTTTATTATTTGGGGTTTTTTTTTAAGACTTTTTTTTTTTTTTCTAAAGGTACAGATCTTCAATAGGTAGCACTGTTTGGCAGTCCTGCATGAGCGAGCACATGTAAAGCAGATGAGGCTGTCCCATGCAGAGTAGAGCATTGTTTGCTTAAAAATGTCAGTGTGCTAGTCCTGTTGTTTTTAAACTGAACTGGTCATATCCCCACTGCATTACACTTTTCTCAGGCACTGTGCAGTTGACAACATGAAGTGCTTTTATCTTCAGCAGACTTGTAGATGCACGTTTTAAGATGTGGTGTGTGGCTTATCCTCTCTGCAGGTACATCTAGGTGGAGGGATCTGGGTGGAGGAGGAGAAGTGGCACCAGCTGCAGCGGACCCAGGGAGACTCCAAGTTCACAAAGAACCTGGCTGTAATGATCTGGGGCACAGAAACCCTCAAGAACCGTAGTGTCACTGGAGTGGCCACCAAAAAGAAGAAAGATGCTCTGCCCAAACCTCCACTGTCACCCAGCAAACTGAAAATCGTCAGAGGTAAGCTAAAATCCATGTTTAAACCTATGAATTTAAGAAACAGGTGATTTTTTGTTCTGATGGATCTTTTGTAAGATGAGACAAGTTGGAAAACATCAGAAAAAAGATTTTCTCTTTTCATACAGCCTTTCAATCATTGAATTATATTCGTTAAAAACCAGACAAAGATAAGATCAGAAACTTTTTAATTTGATGTAGTCTGACTGCTCACACTCACTCCTTCCCCAGAGTGTCTCTACGACAGAGTGTCTCAAGAGACAGCCGACAGTGCAGAGATTACGCAGAGATTGTCCAAAGTGAACAAATACATTTGTGAAAAGATAATGGACATCAACAAGTCCATCAAGAACGAGGAGCGGCGGGAATCCAAGCTGCTCATCAGACAGACAGTCAAGATGGAGAACTTCACCTATGACGGCATGTAGTGATCAACGTTTGTCACGCCAGCGCCTTCTGCCTCCCCCGTGGTCCGCAGGATATTGAGGGGACTTGATATGGGTGGTTTGGGGATGTTTGTCACAGTTTCAGGAGCAGTTGTTTCCCTTTGACACATTGGATTGGTTATTACGTGAAACAATAAAACAAATAGACCCCTTCCCAGCTCCCTATAGCGCAACCATCACCCTCTTCAGTGCCCAGTTTCCTCATTGGGTAGCAGACAGCTTTACCCACCAGTGAAACGTTAAACACGTGTGAACTAGTGATATGAGCTGGTATGAGTGTTTTTATAAGCTTTACAGTGGGATTGGTACAGAGATTTGGTTTATTGACGTGTGTGCATTTGTGTCAAAGGGAGAGATTAGATATGTTTGTTAAATTGATTTATTGTTCTGTGTCAGAACATCATTTTGAGTCCTTAAACTTTTAAAAAGTAAGAGGTAATTTCCCTAGATAAAGTCTGCTGATGCTATAGAGATCATGATGCTAGCTTGCATTAGATCTTAGTTGAGTGAACGGTTGGATATTTTGGTGACTACTGTTTGCTGTTGGTACTTACTGCATAGAATGGGACAACAGGGTCTCAGATGCACAAGTCTTAATTAGTAACAGCCATACTGCATTTTGCAACAGAGATTCTGTTGCTCATAGAGATTAATTTCCCCCCTTAACTGTAGGCTACTCACATCACTTTATTAAAAACAAGAGCTTACAGAGGTTAAATGTGAAGTATGACTCTAATGTAGAGTCTATAGAGTGCTATATTTGTTTTGTTTTTTATGTTGACCTTTTAGTTCTGAGCATTCATGATCAGAGAGAGAGCACAAGGAAATGTGTTTTAATGGGATATTCCTGTGTTACTCTTCAAACATGTCATTTTGAGACAATTTGACTGTTTAATGAGTTTTAGTGGTACAGGCATGTTGATGCCTAGAAAGGCCTTAAATGGATTTGGCAATCACCGGGGGCCGGTTCGCCCCTGGGTTTTCTAGTAGGCTGTGATTGTAAATGTATAATAAGCTGAAGTGATGAAACTTCACCTGCACTTTGCTGTGAGAATGTAAAAGGTGGTTATGGGTACTATTTTCTGTGCGATTCACACCCTTAAGGTGAGCTGATCCGAGCTTCGAGCTATCCCCACTCCTGTATTTAAAAGACGCTGTGCTGCACGGGGAAATGTGGGGAAGAAAGCTCTGCACGGTTCAAGTCATCTTCTTGTGAAAGCAGTGTTAGTTGTGGGTAAAGCTGTCTGAAACACTATTATACTGTTGAAGTTGTCTGGGCCTGCTGAACCCCATAATAACCCCCTCTTTTTTAAAGCCACGCCACTGGGGAACAAAGTAAGGTTGCTCCAGTGACAATTTCCTCTGAGCTATGCCATCAAAACTTGGAAAATATCCTCTTTTTCTTCTATGTTTTTTTCATGTTTTTTTTTTTCTCTTCAGTTTTATTGTTTTGATCCAAAATGGTTTGTGTGGCTGTCTGCAGGCTGGAACTAAATGCTGCAGATTGAAATCTCGACTGTGACCTAGCTGTGGCTAACTGTGAATCTTCTGCAGAGCTGCCCATCAAGCCTCTCTCCTCTTCACACTCTAGATTCTTGTTTGTCAGTTGGTTTATTTCTCTATCATTTTGTCTGTCTTGAGTTTTTTTGTTATTTCAAAAAGTTCAGATCAGCCTTTTGTTAAGCTACCTTATGTTTTGGAAATATTTTAGTGTACATAAAAAAAACATCTTTTTATTTTTTTTTTTCCACCAAACATGGATATTTTCAGTTTCTAGTCATGTTACATGTTACAGTTTTAACAGTTCTGGTCAAGTTTTGGTTTATCTAATTGATGTTGTAATTCCATGTTACCTGACAATTTCTTCTATTTCTTTTTACACTTATCTTATTGTTTGTTTGTTTGTTTTTTTTTCATATGAATTGTTGGCTTTAAGCTTGATGTTGTATCCAAATGTAGATCAGTGGAATCTACAAACACATGAAAAAAAATTTGCCCTTTCTTAGCCAAAGTGATTTCTGTGGAACAAGAGAGACGAGGCTTCCCTTAACATCAGATTTTGACAGAGCCCATACATTATACTACATTCACAACATGTGATATTTAATAACAAACCTCGCTTAGGATCTACCTTCTAATGATCTGCCACAGTAAGATGCGAATCTGTATCGTTAAACGGTTGTACTCAGATGCAGTAGTTAGATCAACACAAATCATTTACATTGAAAGCACTTTAAACTTCTGGGCAATTTCTTCAATCTTAAAGAAATGTATTTGTGGTATTCGTCCTTTTAAATGTCTATATAGATTAAGGCCTAACAATCATTGTATTATCATGAAGCACCTTAGAACACTTTGGTTTATTGTTTTTTTTATGGCAGGAATGAGTTACGGGATATGATTTTTGTTAGTCGGATATGCCCCTGACATGTCAGTGCTCCAAAACAAGCTTGATCGATTTAATACTTCCAACTACTACTTGGAAGTAGCACTATTGCTACTACTTCTGAATATTTAAATCTTTGAAGATTTATTCGGGGTGTTTGGAAGACCAGATTTCCAAAAGTTACTCTATGATTGGATTCAATGGCTTACTTGGCAAATTGACAAACAAAAAATCAACATCTTGGCTTTCATGCCCAAAACATGATTCATCAATCTAAAGAGATTTACCTATGAAATGTGCAAGCTGACTGGAATATGTGCTTTAACTTAATGTGTTAAGATGCTGGTTGTGTATAGATATGACTTATATAAAGATAATTGTGTATTTTTTACAAATGAGTGGTAATTGTAAGCCAAAGTATTGAAGGTTGAGATCAAGCTAAAGAAGGGGGATGCTGACTGAGGAATCAGTGGGGTTTGCACAAAAAATGGCCCATGCCAAGGTAATAGAGCTTAGTGAATCTTAAACCACCAAAATTATGACAGATTATCCAGTGATTTTTTTTTTTTATTCCTAAAAATATCCCTTTTTTAGTGACCTTTGGGTTTTTGTTTTCCCTGTATAAAGCAACATGTGAGGTTTACGTGTGCTAGCATGTATTTAAAATACATGCGATTTAAAAGAAAGAAAAGATTTCTGCTGTGCAAAGCAACCATGCTGAAATTCTGACACATTGTCGTGTATGTGTTTGTGTTTGTTTCTTTGTTGTTTGATGCCAAAAGGGGGTGTGGTTAAAATAATGCTTTAAGATGGAGCATTAATAGAGCTATTACATCATCTGAAAAACTTGTTTTTAAAGGTTGGTTTCCTGGAGCGCCATTAAGCCTAATCCTTTAACTAAAACCATCTTTAGTGGATGAAAGCTGTATGGAAGTACTGTATGTTTTTAACCTAGATTTGGTTTAATCTGTGATGGCAAGGCCAATCTCTATCCAATGTACCAAGTCACTTGCAGAGAAGCAGTTTGGGTTTTAGCAGCATATTAGTAACATACACCCATATATGACCTGGCAGAGCTGTTAATGGATGATATAGGACAGTTTGGCTCTGCAACTCAACACCAGAACCTTCCAGTACTCTCACTGTCACACTCAAGTAGCTATAGGGAGGAAATGCAACCTCGCTTGCTCTGTGATCCTCGTCCTGTGCCACCTCTAGTTCCTTACTCTCCTGACATTTATATGAACTGGGTTTAAAAATGCAAATGTATCAAGATAATGGAAAATCCTGTCCTCCTCGCTTGGTGTTTTGCCTTGTGTTGTGAATACCTGTCAAAGCTTCACAAGTGAGGGAGCTTTATGTTACTTTTTGACAGTTTGATTGGGAAAAGAGATCAGTTCTAGCTTCACTGAGTGGAACAAGATAAATGGCTCCATCTAGCAGTTTTCACAACTAAGTGTACACAAAACCCATTACTGTTTGAGCCTCAGATACAATGTCAAACTTACTTCAAATGAGAAAAAATGGGAGGAACACATTGTTAGGCCTATATTTTTCTTAAGGTATCAGTAACTTTGTATACAATCCACAAACCGGTTCTACTTCATCTAACTTCACCGTCCTACCTCATTGTTACTCTGGTGTTTGTTTGTCAGTGACTGTAAACTATGTGTGTATATTATAAAAAAAAACTATAGGAAAGGTATACCTGGTTACTCTCAACATGTACAGCATATAAAACTTGTAAAACACCTCAGTACACAATATCATTCTTAGGAGAAATCAGTTTTATTACCTGCTTAAAGATGCTGCTCTAAAGGGGTGTCTGCGTGAGGGGGTCGTCTCTGAATATATATCTTCGCTCTTTGCTATGTCGTGCAGTTGATCAGTGGTTGTGTTCTGTCTCTGTATTGCATTCTGAGATTTTTACTGGTTGACGGTGCTACCAGCAAACAGTTCAAAAACTGATCTGTCTATCGGACCTCAAATGGTGCTGTTTTTCTATGTTTTTATCCTCATACAGCTATGTTTTATTCAGGTGCGTCAACCGCCACTATCCCCTCAGCTAATCAAATTGTAAGCCAAAATATTTCGCAAAACGATAACCCTGCTATTACTGTATCAACTTATATGCTATCCATCCAAATAATGTAGATAGTGATTATATCCTCAGCTGTGAGTTTCAGAAGTACCTCAGAAATTGCTGATTTTCAATGGATGCATCTGCTTCTAGCACCTGTTGTCTACCAATATTACATTGTTGCAGTGTATTTTCAGAAATATGCATTTTTACTGGTTAGATCAGGTTTCACTATATAGTACAGATTAGATTATCAGATCACACTCAGATGACCGATAAATTTACAGGATACCACTGTTCACTGGTTGCATGCCAGATTTTGTCATAAAGGATATCTCAGTTGGACTGGGCAGTGTATGTTACTGTAGAAGAGGTCCTCAGCAAAACCATGTTCTGTTCAAAGCCCAGTTTGTTTTACAGAAGTAGGATTCCATTGGTAGTTGTATTTATGGTGGAAACATAATATGTGAGTTGATTTTGGGATTGTACACGCTAAAGCCCCGTTTATAATATTAATAGAAATCACAGAGAGTTTTCAAGGTACATTCATGGAGACTGTTTTGGGGAGTTTCAACCAGTCAGTTTTGAAATGATTGATTTTAGTCACCATTTTATTCTGTGATTCCCCTGGTGTATCTCTTGGTCCCTTACCGCTGTTTAAACAATTCAAATGTAATTTTCAGTGTTAAAATATGAATTTAGTGTAGCAATTTGTTCATGATTGACTTACTGTGAGCTAAAGTCGTGTGTACAGCAGCATTCAGTGTCTGGACTTGGCTTAATTATACAAAAAGTGCATTATATTTTCTTTGACCCTGTGCAGTGACACCAATGGAATCTTTTCTGCGCCAAAGTGTTTAAAGTGTGTTGAGTTGTTTTTTTTGGGTGGTTTGCTCTACCTGTCAGTATGTATATATTTGTTTTTGTTTTTTTTACTCTGACCATGTCTGTGAACATGAAATGTGCTGGGGAACTCCTCTCTACTGTGAGCAGTGTGTGTTCAAATACACAGCAGTTGGTTTTGTGGAAGCACTTAAGCCATTCGTTGGACTGTTTCATAATGGTTCAATTTTAAGCTTTGCTCTGGTCCAGGGAATTGACCCAGAGAGTTTTGTGTGTAATTAAATTCCTATGCAGGTGTGGAGTTGTAATCACCTGGTACCACATCACTGTTGGGTGGAGGGCCAACCAGGGAGAGATAACTGGAGAGCGTTCAAACCTTTGAATGTGTCTGCACAGCCTTGAGATTGAGTCAAAGGGGACAATGGCGACATGACAAATCCGTACAGAACTATTACTACATTTTCATGGAGTTTAATTAAACTGAGCTATACAGGGCTGCTTGGATATATACTTGTCTGTAATAGTTGTAACTGCAATGATCATTAGGGAAAGACAGGGTTATTACTGTATGGAGTATTTCCAGCTGGTATGATAATGTGAAAAGAATTTCAAGACTATTGCAGTAAACACTCCCTCACCCTACTTCAGCCTCCTGGAGGCAACCCTACATTTACAGAAGATGTTATAAGTATATGCGATAGAGAGTGTACATGTCTTTGCTAAACCGGCCACACCTCTGCTATGCGAGCAACTCTTTGACGCTTAGCATCCTGTTCTGTGTTTTCTCTTGCTGCATTCAGGAACACCTGTTTAATGTATAGATAAACAGAAATAAATCCAGACTTTTATTCTATCAGCACAAACCTCTTGTTGTCTTTTTTGTCTATCCTGCCTCTTGTCCATTTTATCGAAGAAACCAACTACAAGACTCGTGTTGGTAACTGAAAGCTAAGGTAAAAACTGTATGTAATATTGTATTTTTTTGTACAGTGCTGATGATGCCTCTGCCTCCACCATACAATATTTGTGTTGTGTTGTTGTGTCCGAAAAGTCCAGAGAAGTTGAACTTTGGACCCAGTGGATACGATCAGAAAATCATATTTTGCTGCCTTTTTAAAGCCATAGTTTGAAATTATGACAAATACTTTTATCTACTGTCTTTTATAGAGCTAGATGTAATTTGTACAGTAAATATGAAGCTGCACCCAGCAGCAGTGTTAGCTTCGTATAAAGACTGGAAATATGGGGAAAACAGCTAGCCTGGTTCTGTCCAAGGGTAAAGAAATCAGCCTACCAGCTCACCTATTAGCGTGTTATATATAATTTGTTTAAACTTTACAAAATCAAAAAGTTAAAACGTTGGGGAGCAGTAAATTCCAGTGGTCTAGTCTGTCTGTTTTACCCAGTTTGCTCCATCTTTGTGCTAAGCTAAGTTAAGCTAACCGGCTACTTCTATAGCTTGTTCTGACCAACTTACATAATGTATGTTGTTGGGTTTTCATTGGGATGAGAAAAAGACATTTAACTGTAACTAACTGATGTAACTAACATGCTTATTTCAAACCATTATCTTTTCCTAAACCTAACCAAACTACGACTGTTTCACTACTTAACCACATGTTTCTTTGTCCTTTCCAGCACATCCAAACACACTAAGATATTAAAGGCAAAAAACTCCAGGGAGTGTGTATTTTCATGAAAATGGGCCTTCGGAGCAGTTGGCTTTTGTTTTTGGGATAACAGATTGTCATTGGGCTTTTGGTCCAATGTGACATGTTTTGACTATTAAGGTTTGGGACTAATGGGCCTTCGGAACAATGGGCGTCCCCGTGTAGCTCTATATCTAACAGACAGATTTGAGAGAAGTACCAGTTTTCTCATCTAACTCTTCGCAAGAAAGCGAATGAGGGTATTTCCCAAAACAAACTACTGATTTAATTGCACCTCCTGCATCAAAGGAATTCCAGATCAAGCGGAGGTAGACGGCAACTCAAATCTTCTGGCAATTGGTTAACAAATCAGTGTGGCCGTGCCCTATTGTTCACCGTTAAGAAATATTTTCTGAAGGGGCGCTGAGTGAGCTGTAACTTAATTTCCACAGATTTTTATATTTTCACCTCAATCTGTATATTCTAAAACCACCAAATCAGGGTTCAATCTGGTCAATAGCTTGGAGCGCAAACCTACCTCAAGTCTTTAAAGTGTTATTTTTTACACTGGAATACCACTTAACTAATGTCAAAAGACTTTATTTTCAAATTGATGGCCATGTGTGCTGAATGGATTTCAGAAAACCTTAATGACCCTGAGGCTAATGCAAATTTCTCAGCACACATTGACTCAGTAAACTTTTAATTTAAATGCAAAGATTAAAATTAGAGTTTGAGTTTGCCATACAATGTTACACTCTACTTTTTAAACGTCTCACCCAGGAATCTGACAACATGAAGACAGGCAGATATGCAGAAAGACAGGAAGATGAGCTCTGGTATTATTTCTCTAACAATTTATTTCTCTATACATAGATCAGTGCGGCTGTGTAAGCACATTGTGCGTTTTCACACCACATCTGACTCTGGCTTTCCATCCTCATAGGCTTTGTAGTCAACTTCTGTCACCATAAAGATCAGTACCTTTCTCCTTCACATCCCTGGTGCTTTGACTGTAGATTTGTTTCTCAAGTTTGGTGTGTTTTGGAGTGCAT